AAATGGAAATTATTGTGGACCGTGTGAAATGGGCTAATCTGCGCATTTCACGGGTATTGGACGTGTTTTAAAAGTATTAAAATGAACAGTCACGATTCAATAAAATCAATGGTCCCGATCAGCTGCTGAGAGGATGGACTGCTGAGGGAATTTGCTTCCGGTTGGGGGTGGGGGTAGGGTATTCATGGGACGGAACGGCTTTTTTGTTTCGTGTCTCGTCCAACTTATTTTTTTAAAAATTTTTTAAGTTTTTATTTCAAAACTAAATATATTTAGAGTATAAAAATTCGTGATAAAAATTATATAAAAAATAGCTAAAAAAATTAACAGTAATCCACAATTAATAAAGAAAAATATTTTTTTTGGAAGCAGAAAATAAATTAAATTCAAAAAATATACTAAAAAATCATATAAAGAACTTATAAATTGTACACAATGTAATCATACAAATTATATCATTATTATGTTAATAATAAGTAAAATAAATTTGTAAGATTAAGAAAATAATATATTGAGACTTGACACCTCGCATCCCGTCCTGTGTCTTAAGACATTTTGTCCGTAAATTTTTGAAACAGGACTATCTCGTAACAAAACCTTTTTGAAACGGGACTACATCACCCTAAAATAACTAGGACTAGAATGAGATGCTGAGACATGACACAAGTAAACACCCCTATTTACAATTATTAGTTGAATGACATGATTTAAAGCCTAAACACTTTATACTAAAAATCATTACTCTTATAAATGGGTTTAGGTTTAACATTATATGAAGTGAGTCTCAAGAGAAGAAAGCTTACTCAACAATTTCCAAGGCTAAAATTTGATACTCTTTCGCTCTTTAATATAAGATCTATTTAACTAATTTGATTAGATTAGGGAAGTTAGGTAAATTAGTTAATTACAAAAAAATATGACATTTTTTTTAAAAAATACCATAATCATCTTTATTAATACATTACTTTCCTCTTCTACTTGATTATGGTTAAGACCTTGAAGGAGTATTCATAATGATAATTTTAAAAAAAAATGATAAATATAAGAAATAGGTCTTATATTTAGGATCAAAATTAACTCAACAATTAGGTTTTATATTAAAGACAAGAGGAGTATTTTATTTAAAGATGTACTTTTTCTCATTTTTTTCAATTTTTTTCAATCCAAATGAAAGATTGAAGATCCTAGCGTTCTTTTTAAAAATAATTTTATTCTAATTATGTAAAAAAAAAAATCTTGAATTCAACAAATATCTCAGGAGGTTGCCAAACTTGAAAACCCCCCGCATGATCTTTCTCTTTCTGTCTTTCACGACACGCTGGGTCCCACGCGCACAAGCAAAGAAGTGAACCCCAACTCAGAAAAAGAAATACGTAGCTTCCAAATAGAATAATCTAGGCCACGTGGATTTGAGTGGTTGGGTTGTTGCCTAGGAGTGTTGAACCATTAGTCCCAATCTTATGATGACCGAAGAAACATATGCTGCCTTCTACTCTTTGTATTGACTTCGTTTAATTTTTATTTTAACTTTAAATATAAAATTTTAATTTATTTTATCTACAACCTCCCGTCTTTAATATAAAATCTTGTTTGATTTTTATTTTGGTTCTAGATATAAGATTCCAATTACTTTGTTTTTAATATTTATGTATTTTTTCCAAGATAGTCTTTCTAACGATAATAATTATAACTAATACACTTGATTAATAAGGATATTTTAGGAAAGACAATACTTATTTATTACAAATAACTAATTTAACTTCTTTCTTTAATCTCCTCAAATTATTCAACTAGCTCTTATAAATAGGACTGGAGGTAGTATCATATTTATTTATTGGTAATTTTAACCAATAAATTTGATTAACAAAGATATTTTAAAAAAAGACAATACTAATTTATTATAAATAACTATTTTAAATTTTTTTTAAATTTTTTTAAATTAATTAACTAATTTTTATATTTAAAAACGAAGATAGTAAATAGCAGCAGCAGCACAAAGTTAGCTATGCCGGTGTTTGAGTTCTGGGATTAGTTGAATATTTTATGATAAAGGATAGTTGAATAATTTTGTTATTAAGGACTTTGCTCCTTTGTTAAAAATGTAAAATAACTCCCTCATTTTGATTTACAATATAAGTCATTTTTACGAAAATTTTTTGGTCCATAACAAAAAGTCACTTAAAAATAATTAATACTTATTTACTAATTTTGCCCGGCAACTAATAATTAAATGTGATTTCCATATTTTTATCTCTATCTGATATGCTCATTAATATCGGCAAAGTAAAAAAAAAAAAATTGAGACAAATTTAATGAATTAATATCATTTTTTTAATTTTGATAAATTTGTTAAAGTGACTTATATAGTAAATAAAAGCAAGTAATTTGTTTCTAAATTACAATTAACTTAACGGATTGATCTCAAAGCGTCCTTTCTTCCGAAGATTCATCAAGAACATAGGTTTTCAACGGAGGAAGGTTCGTGCTTTAAATATGAAAAAATGAGTTACGACTATCTAATTATAAATTATTTTATTTAACTATTTTTTCTGGTAAAGGATGGTAAGAAAATGGAGGAAAAATTTTTTGTGAATCTGTTCAAAATGTTAATATTTTAAATTCTACCCTAACCATATATTGAGATTTTTTTTTTTGGACAAGAGTCATTAATAAAAATATCCCTAAATATTGGAAGAGTAATATCCATAAAACGGTGACGTATGTTTTTTTACTCTTGAATCTTACTCTGTATATTAGTTAGCCCAAAAGTAACTCAAACAGAAAAAGAAAGAGTACAATTAAGTATCTTTAGATGCAAAAGATTAATTTCTCGAAGAAACTTAGAAATTATATTGATAATCGCTCTGGGTATGATAGATGAATAAATATAATAAAATGAAATAAATTACAATGTAACAAATGCCTTCTTTTTAAGATGGATAATTTTCTAAAAGTATTATTTATTGCTGTGAAGCTAATGTATAAAATAAAAATTAATATGTATAACTGGGCAATATATACATTTTTAATTTAAAATATTATTAAGTTATAAAAGAACTTTAATCTTGTTCAAAATACTGTGGAATAATAAATGTGAGCACCTTTTTAAGTTAGATTTGAGACTTGGTTTGTTGTGAAAAACTAGGTTCTTTCAATAAACCCAATTTTCTGTTGGTTATAAAAGAACACTAATTCTACTACCATGATAATTGATACACACATATATTAACTAGGTACATTTTTCATGTATACCTCTGATCCTTAATATAAGAGTTAATTTAACATTCAATTTGATTTTATATATACTTTGTCTCTCATATTTATCTGTTTTTTTTTTTAAATAGTCATTGTAGGTTTTACCATATGATAATTCTAACTAATAAACATTATTAGTAAGGGTATTTTAGAGAAAATAATATATATATTTATTACAAATAATTAGTTTAATAAAAAATTTTAATTTACTTAAATTAATTAATTAGTCTGTGTATATTAAGGATGGGAAGTAGTATTATAATTGGAAGAATAAGCCTTACCACTTTCAATTTCTCATGGTATTCGGGATATCTAAACGACGGAGCCTTTTTTTCTTTAAAAAAAAAAATCAATCAAATTAGAAGTGAACCCCTCCAATTATTGTTTTAGAAAAAAAAAAATATTACTACTTCTGACTCTAAATATAAGATCTAGTTCGTAGTTAGTAGTTAGTACTGGAGATGGCATAAGAAAACGATTGATATTTTGATGTTTTGGAACACATTCAGATACTACATTTTTGACATCTAAATATGTGTCATAAGGCATTGGTAATTAATAATCCTTTTTTTTAGTGAAATTAACAGTTATTCTTTAATTGTGCATTTTTTTTTAACTTGCCTCAAAAGTCAAAACATGTGTTTAATCTATTTAGAAGTTTTCCCTTCTCATCACCACAACATGATAGAACTCATGGAAAAATGGTTATCAACGTGTTAATAATTTCTTCACAAGCAAATCAAATGTCATTATGCTCTTTTCCTCTCTCTCTCTCTCTCTCTCTCTCGTTTTTTTTTTTGGCCTTATGAACTGCTTAATTGATGATTATCATTCTACCAAACCATGAGTGGCTGCTAGGATTAGATCTTATCATTTTCTATTTTGTTATTTCTTAATTAGAATAATAAATATTAATTATTAATACTCTTTAAATCCTTAATGTAAGAGGTATCTTGTTAATTTGGATAAATTAAAAAAATTAAAAAAATTACCTAATTTTAATAAATGTGACATAATCTCTCTAAAATATAACATTAAATTCTGTATAAGTATATAAGTTGAATAAATTACTTTAAAAAAATAATAAATATAAAAGATATTACCTCCAATCCTTCTTATAAGATCCAATCAACCTAATTGCATGATTTAAAAAATCTTTTAATATTAATTAAAAGTAAAAGATATATAGAAAATATACTTTTTTTTCCTCAAAAGAACCCTATCAATTTAATATTCTCTCCATCCCTTTTTATTAAAAACAACTACCATCTCTACTTTGTTTAAAATTTTTTGGCTGGTTTACTATTTTATCCCATTAATTACTTATTTTAATAATTGATATATTTATTATCTCATTTTTTGAAGCACAATTCATTCATTCATTCATTTTTCTTTTATTATCTTTTCCCCTATAAATACAAATATTTTTGAGAAAAAACTTATTATTTTTTTACATATCTACTGTCTTTACTTAATTTTAATTTTTTGGCCAAAAAAATTAATTTTAATTAACTTTTTGATTTAGTGGATTGATGAAATTTTTTTTTAATAAAAAGAAACAGATGTATTAATGTGAATGTTATGAAAGGAATAACCGGATAAGAGGAAGTAAAATGAACAAGTTATCAAAACTAACTCCCTAATCAATTGAGCCGCGGATGCTTAATTGCTTATATATATGTATGGACATGGTGTGGGTTTGGCCAATGCCATTTCCTACTCTCTCTCTCTCTCACGGTTTTTGCTCTCTCTTTCTTGCCGGCTTCTCGTTCTTCCGAATTTCTCTCTCTCTCTCTCTCTCTCTCTCTTCTCTGTCTCTCGCACATCTGTGCTTCATCTGTGGACTCTCCAATGGACGACCCAAGTGAGTATCTCCATCTGTTCGTCGAGGACGCCGCCTTCTACAACCGCATTCTGCTCGGGTCCCTCTTGCCGGACCGCTTGTGGGTCTCACTCCCTCACTTCTTCCAGACATGGCTCCGCAACTTCATTGGAGGAACCCTCCTATACCTCATTTCTGGTTTCTTGTGGTGCTTCTACATTTATTACTGGAAGCGCAATGTTTATCTCCCTAAAGGTGAATATCGTTGATTCCTTTTTCTTTTTTTCTTTTTCCTCTTCTGGTGGTCAATGGCATGATGAGAATTGTTCCCCTTCTTTCTGTAGTTTAGTTGTGAAGGTGTTATATATTCCAGGTCACTTAACCTTTTGGCTGCTTGTTCTTAATCCGATGCCTGATGTATCTGCTTGCTCAATTACTGTACGCAAATACGAGCGTATTCTCCGTTTTTTTCTTTGACCACAACCTGTTTCCTCCCTCTTTTTTGTTTCTTACAATTTTCTTGGCTGAGAAACTTGAGTTGAATAAATTGCAGGCTATTTTCTTGAGAAGTTATGATCAGATGTATTATATCTGAAGCTTCTTTGATTCAACTTCTTTCCGTGATGTTTAATTTCAGTTCTCAGCATGAGCCTTCTCTTATTCTTGATTTATGAGTTTCTTTCTTAAAAAAAAGTAGAATTCATCAATATAATTTGTAATGCTTTCTTTTCAATTATATTTTTACTAGTCTATGAAACTGGTACAATTCAAGTTTCGTATCTCAGACTTGGTTTTCTCCCCCCTATTGATATTTCCTTATATTGAATCTGAATTCCGACTCTTTTAATTCTAATTTCCGATAAGATATGAGTGATCGGTCTTGCTGATTTGAAATGATTTAATCCTTGGGATATTGCAATCTAATCTGTTACTGGGACTGTTCCTTCTTTTCCCTTTTTGTATTTATTCAGCATCTGATTTTGACTGTGATTTTATTTATTAGCTGCGGAGAATCGAGAATCTAACTTGTAATCTAGTGGTAAATGTCTGAAACCGTAGAAGAGGGATCAAAGCCACTGTTTAGTGTATGGGAATTGTCAGTTTATCCTTGCATTTGTTGTCTAGATCTCCATTCATTGAATCCTGTGCCTATTCAGTGTGTTTACTACTGAAACTAGCAATTGTTTATTGGCCATATGGACCGTACGAAGTTAGTATTCTACTTCCTACATTCCAATTCAATGACTCGTTGAAACATGACTTAAATTTTTTTTCTCAATCACTATAACTTGGCTGATTTCTTCAAGTTACAATTTCTCGTCCACAAAATGGAGATAATCTGGTAAATTATGTTTCTGGTTCTGCAACTTTAATCACATTGGCTTTGTCAGGACTCTAGTAAAAGAATGGAGTAATCTGTTTCTGAGCCTCTGTTAAGTAAACCTGAGTTGGTTTTATTCATGTTAATGGGTCCTAGAAGGTTGCTGAGTCATCATCTATAAAATTTGAATTAATTGAAACTCTGGCTTGAGATTATATTGGCAAGCGTTTTTGTATATCTTATGTATTAAAGGGACATATAGAGGTATTCCTGATTTTTTTTGTTCAACCTTTTGAAATCTTCTATTGTAGACGCGATTCCCTCTCGTAAAGCCATGCTCCTGCAAATATATGTTGCATTGAAGGCAATGCCTTGGTACAGTTTGCTTCCAACTATTTCCGAGTACATAACAGAAAATGGGTGGACTAAGTGTTTTCCAAGAGCAAGTCATGTCAGTTGGCTTGCTTACCTTGTATATATAGCAATTTATCTAGTTATAGTGGAGTTTGGCATTTATTGGATGCACAGGGAGTTGCACGACATAAAACCTCTTTATAAATACCTTCACGCTACTCACCACATCTACAACAAACAGAACACGTTGTCCCCATTTGCCGGTGAGTATGTGATTTGCTTAGCTAAATGTTTAGTTTGTCAAGTTAATATTATCTTTTCTTTCCTTTTTCATTGCTTCTATTAGAAGAATGGTTGTTGGATAAGATATCAAATGGAATTTCATTTCTATCTTGGGTGATAACCTTGAGGTGTGTTTATTGTGTGTTTTCCCAAGCAGTCACTGCAGATAATCATTTTTATTGCACCATTGTTATGCTAAATGGAAATTTGATAATAAGATGGAATGTCAATACTGTAGTAATCAAGGATTAGTCTAGCTTTTAAGTAAAAAGAGTTAGCTTGAACCATCATGAGTCACACACACACACACACACACATTTTTTCCAGAAATAGTGAAGAAACAGAATTTACAGTGAACCTGCTACTTCAGCTAGAAATTGCTCCAAACTTCTGCTATATGGCCTTAATGACTGCATATTGTTTTTTCACTCAAAAAAATGACTGTATATTGTCTGGAATATGTAGAAAACAACTGATTTACTTGGAAGAAATGCACAACTGTTATCCTTACTTCAAAATGTTATTAAAAGGTCTTTCTTGTGTATTTCTTTTCAGACTCTTGAGCTAATTACCATCTTATTTCTTTTTTTAAAAAGTTATATTTGATTTTTATAAGCAGGGACAAATTTTTTTACAGGTTTTAGACAATTCTTAACTTTCTAGTTTTTTGAAATATATATTTATTTTATATATTTCTTACTTATAATTATATATCTGTATCTGCTACCTATTTGCTAAAAGACAAAACAATAAAAAACGCTGAATTGGAAGAATGTATATGCAGGACATACCAATTGTTGCCTTTTTCTATTTATATTCCATTTCATATGGCTTTGGTATAAATGCTAATCGCGTCGGGGAGGTTGTATAAATAAAAATTGAAATAGTATTATTTCATACAGATTGACTAATGAATAGTAATTCACTATCAGGCAGCAAAGAATCACTTATCCGTGCAATGTTACGAAGAAAATCTGTAATCCAGTAGTTTACTTTATCGAATTGAATTCATTTTACACACACTTGCAAGACCTTTACTTTCACTCACTTATTATTTTCTTCCTTTTCGTCTTCATAAGAAGCCTATAATTAATAAATTTCCTGGTTTGGTGATCCATAAAGGACTTCATGTTGAACTTCATTAAGAAAGTTTATTGTTAGATGATGCCAAAAAGTAATTTTCCAGATTCGCTGTCCCTCAACTGTTTTCTTGCATTTTCTTTTAGAAGCTACATCTGCAATGCTTAATCAACTTTTCAAGATTCAATTTCATAATTCATATTGTGTAATTTTCTATCACGAACTTTCATAAGTTGCGTCATCACTGTAACTCCACCATTGATGATTTTACATCAGCATTCTGATATAAGGTTGGACTGACTTTTTCCCGGTTCCTTCTTTCTTATTTCCTCCCACATCTCAGGTTTGGCCTTTCACCCTCTTGATGGCATTCTTCAGGCAGTACCGCATTCCATTGCTCTGTTTATTGTCCCCACACATTTCACCGTACATTTAGCGCTGATGTTCATTGAAGGCATCTGGACTGCAAATATTCATGATTGCATTCATGCCAACTTGTGGCCTGTCATGGGGGCTGGCTACCACACCATTCACCACACCACATACCGGCATAACTACGGTCATTTCACGATATGGATGGATTGGATGTTTGGGACGCTTCGCGACCCTTTGCAAGATGAAGGTAAAACCATGTGATGGCTTTGCAATAACGGTTCGTGCTTGACTGAAGTAAGCATACTTTTCTTCATTGGTTATTTTACCTAGATTGTTGAGAAGTGGTTCTTCTTCATGTAAAGGATAAAAAAGTTCATGTTATTTGTCTAGTAGTGGACATATGGTGGGAAGACAGGGTTTGGAGGTGTAATATCGTCTTCAATATATTGTTTAAGCTCTAGCATTCTTTGGGCTGATGTTACTCCGTTCCTTTCAAAAATCTTGGTGGTGAAGTTTATGATGCTTAGACGTCTATCCTTAAAACGTGATGATTGAAGTTCAATGGAACCGATTATTTGTTAGTGCTTCGATATGTTTTTTGAAGTTTAAGTGAAAAGCAAGTGTTAAATGATCTGCAGAGACTACTGAAATGTAGTTATACTCACTACTCAGTGATTTGATCGCAAGAATGAGCATGATGTGCCCACTAAAAATGAAATTGGAAACCCTTAGTCATCACCTTGAACATCTTGTGAGACAGAGGAATAGTATTTTGTTTAAGCTTTATTTTTGGAGGAAGGACGCTGCTACTTGGAAAATTCTTTTTACTTTACATGAAAATTATAGGAAAAATTGGGAAAAGGTCTTGCATTGAAAATTTTATTGGTAAAAAGGAACTAAATCAGAGCATTGTTACTCCATATGTATAAAATTTGCAGCGTATTGATACTTTTTGTGTATAAAATTTTATCAGGTATTTCTTATTAAAAAAAAATTTCAAGGGGAACCCAATTTTTCCAAAGTTATATTGTATTCCATCTAATTAAAGCATAAACAGACTTTAGTGGTTAAAGTGTAAAAAATGCCCTCCTAACTTTTAGTCTTGCATGAAATCTTCAATCTTCAATTTTTTTTTTTTTATGAATAGGCAAACAAAGCTTGTAGACAGGGATCAAACCCTGTTAAAGGCCACCATCAGATGGCTATCACGTCACTACGCCACACAGGTGCTGGCTTAATCTTCATATTTAATTGAGCAAAGAATGTATTTGATTCTAAAAATGTGTGTAAGCAAAATGTGATATTTGCAAAAAGGCAATTAATTGAAGTTATGCTGTATCTAAAACGAGTGTATGCTCGATTTATAATAAAACCAGACTTAAAGTGGGGGGGGGGGGATTATGCCCAATGCCCATTGACAAAAGCTCCATACGCATTCACATAACAAACAAAAGTAAAAGAAAAAGGGAAGCTATGCATCAACAACCATGTTAGGACTTAGGACCACATAAAAGGGCAATAAAGAAACAAAAACTGTACGCGCACAGTGCACATCGGTGGAAAGGAGCTTTGATGAGGTCATTGTGCACGTGTATTTGGATCTGCGTTATTCTTTCCAGCTCCATTTCCACCGCATCACGGAATTAGATGGACAGTTTGGCAACCCTGAGCACTAAAAAAATTAAATTAAATTCTGTAAAATTACTTTTAAAAGGCCAAACAATGACCTCAAAATGTAATTATATATATATATGGAAAAAAAAATTAGGTCAGTTGCTTTTATATATATATTGGCACGAAACATTAAAATAAAAAATAATAAAATTTTATTTGGCATGGCAGAATAACTGTTGTTAAAAAAAGTCATCCAAGTTGACTATTTGAACGGTTCTGTTGATAAATGAAGGATTTTTTTTTTTTTGCCAACGTTGATAAATGAAGATTTTAACATGAAAGCATGGACAAGGTATGTAAACTTATTCGAGTGTTATAGCACAGTGACACATATATAATACTTCTTTTAATGTTTTTTTTTTAAAATTTAAGGTTGTGAATTTAGGGAAGAGAATCCACTTCTCTTACCGTCCACTTCATTCTATTATCTTATTCTCCTTATTAGATCAATTTTAAACGGTTGGGATTTAATAGTATATAATATTATTTTAATATTAATTAACAAAAAAAATTGTATATAAATAAATTTGGATTATTAAAATTTGATCTAAATAGTTGACATCTTTATAGTTTTATATTAAAATGTTATATACTCCTCTGGTCCTTAATATAGGACCTAATTGTTAAATTAATTTTAGTCCTAAATATAAGACCCATTTTTCATATTTAATCAATTTTTTTCTAAAATATCCATGGATACTCTCTCAATCATAATCAAGTAAGTGAGGGAGGGAGGATATTAAGAAAAAATGATTATGGTATTTTAGGAAAAACATGTCATACTTCTTATAATTAACTAACTTATCTAATTTTCTTAATATAATCAAATTAGTTAACTAGGTCTTATATTAAGGATGTCCTTAATATAAGACCTATTTAACTAATTTGATTAGATTAAAGAAGTTAGGTAAGTTAGTTAATTATAAGAAATATAATATGTTTTTTTTTCTAAAACATCATAATCATCTTCCTTAATATCCTCTTTTTTTCTTCTACTTGATTATGGTTGAAGGAGTATCCATAGGGATAATGTAAAAAAAAATTGATAAATATGAAGACTAGGTCTTATATTTAGGATCAAAATCAACTCAACAATTAGATCCTATATTAAGAACTGGAGGAGTATTAAATCTCCTCCGTTTAAAATTGATTTAGTGGTAAGAATAAAGAAGAAGAGTGAAGTGGATAGCAAGGGAAGTAGAGAGATTCTCTTCGCGTGTAAATAAAAGACATAATGAGTGTGTAAATTATAATAAAATAAAGAAATTGCTAAAATTAAACAGAGACGGCGAGAACTAAATTCAATGATACCTAAGCCAATAACTGTTTTATTTTCTATAGTCAATTATTTGAGAAGAAAAACGACATCAAGCAAGCTGCTTTGCGAACCAACAATGATTAGCTTGGCTTAAATAAAGAATTTGCAAATTAGCATAGTTGTGTATGTAGAAGAGAGATTCAGAGTCTCTTAAGATTAAGGGTTTGAAACCTAATTTTATCTGAGCTTATCAACAATATAATTTTTGGTGGTACATAACATCAGATAGTTTTATACTTAAAAAAAAGATCTAAAGCAACAAGTTCGTTAAGTCGACATGTCAACAATGATGTCCTAGATATATGCAACCCAGATAGAAGTTTAATTTAATATAATACTACTTCTATCCTTAATAATAAGAGATACTTAGAGACTCAACTTAATTCTAAATATAAGAACACGATCTATTTTGTTCCCAACTAATTCCTATGATAATTGCATATATTAGGGATAGATAATTTCAATATATATGATTAGTAAGGGTATTTTAAAAAAACCCATATCCATTTATAACAAATAACTAAATTAATGTTTTTAATATTTATAAATTAGTTATCTAATTCTTATACTAAGGACTGGGTTATACTTCTTTTCCTTAGTGACCTAGAGAAGAAAAACCAAATGGAGGATCCAAAACATGAGTAAGACACTAATAATCAAGGAACTAAAAACTAGGCTGGATACTAAATCAGTCGAGGTAGTGGTTTAAAGGTCAATTAGTCGGATCGAGGTTAACTCAGAGTCAAACTTATCATATTAAAATAATATAATTTAATTGAAAATAACAAAATACAATAACATTAATCATTACTAATAACAAAATACAAGAAAATATAATAATAGTTTGATTATAATAATAACAAAGTACAACAATATTGACAATGTTGATCTTCACGATTTATCAATAATTGAAATTAATAATCATTGATATCAAAATTATCATTAAAATAATTCAAATCTATAGTAATTGAGATATTAAGAGCTGAATAATAAAAAAAAAGACCAATAGCAAAATAATGGTTCATTATCAGTTCCCCTCACTTTTCACCAGTTCAGCCCCAGTTTGATTGATTTGATATCGGTTTAACTTTTGATTGGTTCAATGCCCCAATATAAACTAAATCATTGCTCGGTTCACTAATTTTTTGATTGAATTGGTTGGTTTGGTCTGATTTTTTGTTTCTTGCTCATAATTACAAGTGCAAAACAAACTAAAATTAAACATCGTACATGTCACCTTTGAAGCTTCATGCAGTTGTTTCCATTGGAATAGGCGTGGAATTGGAATCATCAAGCCCGGTGCAGGAGGAGACATCTGAAGCATGAAGGGCCAGTGTCCTTGGATGAGGAGAAGAGAGAGAAGGTTTTGGTGGGAGTGACACTGATTCATTGGGTCCTTCTAACATCTCAACCACTTTACTCATTGATGGCCGCATTGCTGGATCTGTCTGAATACACCATAAACCAACCAAACTTAGCTTTCTTACCACTTCTTTTTCCTCTTCTGTGATGGACACATTTGTTGCAACAACATTGGATTGCTCAAATTCTTTATAAATCCAATTGGGAAAGTACATATCATCACTAGTATTAGCATGTGACCCTCCACTCTCAAAATTCTTTCTTCCTCCGATCATTTCAAGGATTAACATGCCATAACTATAGACATCAGATTTGTATGAAACTCCACCATATGTGCGACTGAAGACTTCTGGTGCAATGTATCCTGCAGTTCCCCTCATGCCAGATATTGATACAATACTCTCCTTTTTGTAACATATCTTGGCGAGCCCAAAATCGGATATTTTTGGACAAAAATCTTCATCTAACAAGATATTTTGGGGTTTGATATCAAGATGTAGGATTCTTGTGTTACACCCTCGATGCAAGTACTCTAATCCTCGAGCAATACCGATTGAAATTTGATAGATTCTCATCCATTCAAAATCACAGACTGGATTTAAGGAATATTCTCCTTTATAGATGAACTTCTCTAATGAGCCATTGGGCATGAATTCATAGATCAAAGCTCTTTTGCTCTTCTCATAACAGAATCCCAACAAAGTGACTATATTTACATGCGATGTTCTGCTAATACTTGCGACTTCGTTTATGAATTCTTCTCCATTGCCCTTGGTCTCACTGAGAACTTTTACTGCCACAAGACGACCATCGGGCATAGTGGCTTTGTACACAGTTCCATAACCACCCTGGCCAATTTTTGTTTTGAATGACTTTGTAATTCTTCTCACTTCCGAGTAAGTATATTTTCTGGGTGCCAAAGTGCCATAAGTTTCCACGAATGTCTCAACATGGTGATGATCGTCGTATGTTCTTTCCTTGGAAATCTTTTGTCCTAATTTAAAACATCCACTACGACAACCAATTATTGCGATCAAGACTATCACTATCCCAACGCCACCGCCGGCAGATACAATTGCAATAATATTAATCCGATTTCGAGATGTTTCTGCAGGAGGAATTTTTTGAGTGAATCAAATCTATTACGCATGATTAATTCATTCTAAGTTGGAGTGTATGTTTAAGTCCTTTAAGGGTTATTTTTTTGGGGTATAAACTCAAAGTCTTCTTAAGTTATTTTGGATTTGAGACTAATATCTGTCGGGCTAGTTAATACCCTCCCATTAAGTATGCTTCCCGAGATTTGATGTAATTGTTTCTGATTTGTATGATTATTGGTTTGTTTGTGTTTAAGGATTGCGTTATGCTGTGGGTCTGAATGGATGCAACAGAGTAATGGAGTGACATATCCTAAATTTATAAAGACAAACACTATAGTTGGATTTATCACTATGCTTCCCTTCTAGTTAGAGATAATTGCCGAATTTGATATAGGTAGAGTGCCACAAAGAGAAGGTTGAAACTATTAAATCTCAAATAAAGAATTCCCATAAAAAATTAAGGAAAAATATATTACTACTTCCAATTCTAATTAAAAGGGGTGGATATGAGATTTATTTTAATTTTAAATAAACGACCTCAATTCACTTTATCTTCCTAATTTATATTTTTTTTTCCCTCAAGCATTCTTATAGATTGCATATAATAAGAGAGTCATCAAGAGATAGTTACAATACATATGATTAAAAATGATGTTTTAGATAAATCAGTACATATTTGTTATAAATAAGTAAATTAATTTTCTTCATAGTTACGAATTTATTATCTAATTTTTATATTGAATATGGGAAGTAGTGTTAAACGGTATGACAAGCAAGTCATATTTATTGATGGTGGGTCAGCTGAGTCAAAGTCAAATAAAATTTAAAAATTCCGGAAAGAATATTCGGTGAAGGATTAGTCCAACTTATTAAATTAACAGGTTGAATGAGTCCAACTCGCTGATGAATCAACCCATCTTAATTAGTAGCTAGATATTGGGTGGTCCCTCTGGTAACTGGCCTTTGATTCCTAATAATAGTAGTTCAAATAGACACTATCTCCGGTTTTTAATATAAAAATTAGATAATTAATTTGTAGATATTAAGAAAATTTGTTAAATTAATTAACTATAACAAATGTATTTTGTTTTTCCTAAATTACTCTATTTAGTCATGTGTATTTAAACTATCTCTTATTGGAATACCTTTAATATGTGTAATTAATAAGAATATTTTGAGTAAATAATTATAAATTTAAAAACTAAAGTAAACTAAAGTCTTTTAGAATCAAATGAATCATTAATCAGTCGACGTGCACACCTGATGATGATGAAGAACACGACGCAGTTCCTTGACTTCCGTTGCTGCAGAAACAAGTGAACTTCTGATCACTATGCCCGCACTGCCCACCAGAATTAACACACTTGTTGCACTCTTCATTATTTACGCTCCAACTTAATCCAAAACCTTCTTTTATTGCTTCTTCGATTTTCTTTCGATGGTAAAGTACCAAATCAACGAAGGCATTCGTTATAGGAACAACAACCACCTCACAAAATCTTGTGAAATCAATACTGTAAGATAGGATCGCATAGTAGACTTCTTCCGTCGAGCCGTCAATAGTGGAGCACTCTGTGCTTGATGAATTGATAGAGTCACTCATTGCATCAAAACTGTCGCTGCAATCATAAAGCAAGACGAATTGTCGAAACCCATCAGAAAGCTTGAACATGGTGGAATCGAAGCTTGTGTTTATGTGTTGAGTTGGACATATAGTTGTCCAATAGTCATCCCTGGCCACTGTGAGTCTCTTATCATTGAGGTCGAAACTCAGAATCCTGTAAGTTACAGATTTGACGATCAACTTTGGAGTATTGTGTTGGCAAGCGAGATGGAAATCAGGCTGACCACAGTATTCTGCCCTGTTATCTCCCCAGAATGGATACCCAACGTTGTTGACGATTCCACAGTTGAAGTGGCTACTGCAGTTTGTGAATCTATCATCGGCATGAACTGTGATAACGAAAAGTAGGAGCAGAAGGAAGAAGAAGACGGAACATTGGGGAAGATCAGAAGGATTCATTTCGTGATTGGAAGAAGAGAAAAGGGGTTTGAGAGCAATGAATGAAACTGAACTGTTGGAAGATATATGTGTGCACCAAATTAAAGATATGCCTCACTCACATCGTCAGAGATTTGGAAAACAAGGCCTTCAAAATTTGAAGCTGGGAATTTCTGGGAAGCCAGAGCAAAGTGAGAAGTTCAATTTAATTAGCCTAGCTATATTTTCGCGCATAAGAATTCTGGAGAACCGGTAATGTCAAAGTCGTCTCATAAATGAGGTTCAATTCGAGAAGCTGGACAGAGTCAGAGAGACAAGTGATGACATTTGCGGGTATTTCAATTTTACTAAACACGCAGCCTCTAAAGAGTCCAAACTTGGGACCAATAGCAACCGTTAATATGCAGGACCTTCTAACAAATATAAATATTGACCACCATAACAAGTCTTATCTCATTAGGTGAAATCGGTTATATGATTGTATGGCATCATTGTGCTTTGTAAATAATTAAATATTCAAATAAATTATTAATTAAAAAGCCTCGCTTAATAATATAATTGTTTATCAAATATGCACGGAAGAAATGAATAAAACTAAAAGTCATACATATATAAGCAAATTATTGGCTAATCTAACTTCAATAATCTATATTGGGGAAGATCAGAAGGATTCATTTGGTGAAGAAAAGGGATTTGAGACTTGAGAGTAATGAAACTCAACTAATTAGCTGCTGGAAGATATATGTCTCACAGTCGCAGGGCTAGGTTTGAAACATAAGGGCTTGAAAATTTCAAGTTGTGAAATTCTGGGAAGCTTGATGAGCAGGGTGACATGTTCAATTTTATTAGCCTATCATGTCTGGACTAGTGGTGAAAAATTGATTTTATAAAATAAATATATGAGAGAAATTCTGTCTTGTAAATTATAAATGATTGTAGCATCTTAATGTTTTTTTCCGGAATTATCAAAGGCATTTTAGCACTCAAGGTTTGTTTACGATGTTAAGTGTACTTTTGAAAAAACTTTATAGGTATATTTGCACATGTACCTTTTTTGGTTAGATCCTCTAAGCCACATCAGTATTCATGTCATAGAAATGGTCAACGTTACAATAGTTAACAGTTGTGATATTTTTGCAACTTTATGAAATCTTCATGTATGTTTTTGCACCTGTAGTTTATTTATGGTGTCAGACGCACATTTAGTAGAAGTTCATATATATATATATATATATATATATTTCCAGCTTGATCCTTTTCAAAAATACCTTTTTATATGTACAATTTCAGTGAAAAGCAATTTTTAGAAAAATAGTTCATAATAATTTCATACAAAAAGACTCAGACCAAGCTGTTTGACATTTCAGTTTTATAATGTAGAAATAACGGTCCATATAATTTTTTTTGGGCCTGAGTCCAAATAATGCTAGAAAATTGTCCAAATAGCTGTCTACAATGAGTGCTTAGGATGTGCGGGGTATATATAACAATAAATGAGGAGTAGAATAAGAAAGGAAAACTGACGGGAAAAAAAAAAAAAGAAACCTGAACTTGTGAAATCCCAATTCCAAAAGCTGAAGGTTGAAAATGACAGGAAAAAAAAAAAATTAAATTAGAATTTTGAAATTTATATCCAATATATATATATATATATATATATATAAAAGTTAACTTCTTTGCTGTGGCTTTAGCTCATGACGATAATTTATCTGACAATAACAAGTTTTGATTAAGAAATAACAAGTATAAATTTGATATTAATAAGGCTTTTTTCTTGATACATAACGTGAAATAACATATAAATTAACTAAAAATGATGACAATTTATCTAGGAATGACAAATCTTAATTGAGAAATGATAAGTTTAAACTTGAAATTAAGAAGGTGTTTTTTTCCTGATACATAACGTAAAATAGCATGTGAATTAATTAAAAATGATAACAATTTATTTGGCAATAACAAATCTTGATTATAAAATGATAAGTCTAAACTTGAGATCAACAAGACATTTTTTTCTGATACATAATATAAAATAGCATGTGAATTAATTAAAAATGACAACAATGTATCTAGAAATAACAAGTCTTGATTGAAAAAAAAAACAAGTTTAAACTTTAGATTAACAGGGTGCTTTTTCTTGATACATAAAAGAAAATAACCAAAAAAAAAGCCATTGCTAGAGAAAAAAATCCCTATTGGTAGCCACCACGTAGGTGGCTGGCGTGGCGTTGATGTCTAGTTGTCGGTGGCAACCTCTAGTGAAGGGTTGAAGTTTTTAAATTAAAAAAAATAAAGAGGCATTTTTATCATTTCACTTGAATTTCAAAATTCTAATTAGGGTTTATTTCCCTTCCTATCATTTTCAATTCTTAGTTTTCAGAATTAGGATTTTACAATTTCGAGCTCTTTTTTTTAATTTTTTTTTATCATTTGCCTGATAGAAATTGAAGGACCAGACTGAAAAGAATAATATTCTTGCAAAGTTTGAAAGATCAAAAAAGTAGTTGTGGCAATTTATTAACATAAAATTCTTTCCATTATTAACACAAACAAAGCCATAAAACTCCATAAGTGAGGGATAGAGGGGTGATTTGATGACCTTTTCTCTCTCTAGTCCCAATGTCTTTTTTTCTGTAGCTATTCTCCTTCTTCTGCTTTCCGTTATCTGCATCTCCTGCCTTTTCCCCCTTGTTTGCAATAGTTTTCATTCAATTTGCAGAGTTAAATGGATGTATTTTCATATGTGTATGGTTTTGATTATAATAAATAACAACTACGAGGTCAAGCAATTGTTTTGTTATATTTCAAATAAAGGGCAATATGGTTTCATCAGAACTACGGACACATTAGCTGATTTCATGAGATTTCATTAACATTCAACTAATTCCATGGATCCTAGTGGTCTTTCATTCTCCCATGAATTTGATTCGATAGAATGACATAGAAAGTTATAAAAAGATAAATAAAAATGAGAACTTTTGAGCTTTTGTTCTGGGCATGACAACTTTTAAGTTATAAATATAAAAATTTGAATTGTAAATTTTAATTTTTTAGTTATAAGGACGTTTTAAATTTACATTAATTTCCTTATATACTATTTAATCCAAATTCTCCCATTTAATTATGTACTCCCCCTCTGATTCTTTTTAAAAGTTTCAAATAACTAAATATGTAAAAAATTATAACATATTCTCTTAAAACACTTTTATTTATGGAAATTATGAGTGGTAGAGAGATGGATGAAAAATAGGACAGAAACATATAATTAATTAAGGATAAAAATAAAAAACACTAAATATTTAGATGTTCTTAAAGTGTAGCTCATGAAAAGAATTATTAAATCTATTCAAAAAATTAAAGCTCATAAATAGCAGTGGAAGGGAGTATTTAGTAAGGAAAATCCCAAAAAATTATTACCTGAATTTCAACATCCTAAATTAAGAATTTCTATACAAATATGTTATCATTTGCTTTTAAAGTATTGTAAATAAGTATTATCTTTGGTTCTAATTATAAGATCTCGTTTGTTACAAACGAGATCTTATAATTGGGACTGAAGGTAGTATAAGAAACAAAGATTAATTTAAGATTTTGAAATTCTAAGTTGGAGATTTTCCCATTTAGTACCATAAATCCTAGGAAGAATATAAAAAAATGGCTCTTAAATTTTAAAATTTCAAATTAATCTTATTTACTATATTTTAATAATAATTGATTATACTTAAAAATTAAATAACAAGACATTTTTATAATTATTTTTATTTGTTATTTAACAAATTTCAGAATATTTTATTTCCCTCTTCCCTAATTCCTGTTACCCCAAATTTAAACATATCATCTTGACATAACTAGCCCATTGTCCCATAACCGCGCCACATCACTGTCACTGGACGACGACTGCGCGGTGATCAGTCTCACTCACTATCTAACAATTGAAATCAGGGCCTCCAACGTTTAAAAAGTTGATTGATGCGCTTGACACCCATCTTCTTAGCAATACCCACGCGCCGCCTTCTACTGATTCATACCGATCTGTTCATCTTCTGCTACTGAAAGAGCACAAAAGGGCCTGCCTTTATGAATCCTGGACCTTTGGATGAGAAGAAGATATGGGCGGAGTTACTTCTTCAATCGCGGCCAAATTTGCCTTCTTTCCCCCAAACCCACCTTCCTACACTTTGATCTCCGACAAATTGTCCCATGGTCGATTTTCTATTCCCGAGGTTCCCATGAAGGAAAACGTTGATGTTCTTAAACTTCGGACTCGGCGAGGCAACGACATCGCAGCGGTATATGTTAAGCATCACAAAGCGACAAGTACTATGCTCTACTCACATGGGAATGCTGCTGATTTGGGTCAGATGTTTGAGCTCTTCGTCGAATTGAGCAATAAACTTCGCCTCAATGTCATGGGGTATGATATGGTCTTTCTTCTTTGCTGTTATCTGTTGTTGAATTGAGCTGACTATAGATGGATAACTATGTGTTTAGCTTAATATTGTTTGGATATGTGCTATCAGAAAATCAAAAAATATTGTTTGGATATGTTCTTGGATGCATGTATATTTCTGGGAGTTGCATAGATCGGTTAGTAATACTCATAAAAAGCGAACGCCTCCTATTTGTTCAATGATTGATTTCCTTTCCTATTAGTGTATTATTTAGTTTCCTTTTTAATCAATGTATTAAAGATTACCCCCCCCCCCCCGGGGGGGAAATGGGCATATGCAACATTTTGTTTTGTCCTTTAATTCAGCTCGAATTGATTACTCCCCGTGTTTATATTGCAATTCTCGTGTTTTTCTTGGGGTCTTTAAACGCTCTGCTGATCAAAGAAGTACCTCCAAGAATAGGAAGGTTACGTATCTGGAAAACGGTAATGATGCATAATGCCATTTTTATAGGTCGTACGAATGGATTCCTTAACTATGGTTTTTGATCTAAAGTTCTTTTGTGTTTTGGCTTTTTCATATGATCACATATTGGGCCTAGACTTGTGTTACTCCCTCTGGTGCCTATGAATAGGCAGCCTATGAATAGGCAGCCAGTCCTTGTCGTTAGAGTTTGATTGTGTGTCTTCTTCTTCTTCTTCCCCATTTCATTTGATAATGTGTGTCATGTTCTTATTTCATGCTATATATTGATTCAAAGACCCTTTCTTTGCACTTGTCTACTCATTACCATTCCTGTACATTATTCAAGCTTTTTTGGATCTAACATACCACCGATTTTGAAGTGACCTGCCCTACCCCAGTTCAGTATCACTGTTGTCCAGCAAGGCTACGAATTCGGAGAAGCTAAATGGACTATTAACAATGAAATTCTTTCTTAGTATTCTTTAAATGAAGACCCACTTTGAATTTCATCGTTTTATTGCCCACCTTAAGAGTGTTGCACTTGACTCCCTTTGTCTGGAAATCTGCTGTAATGCTGCCTCAAAACTGTATTTATCTTGATTTTCTTTAAATGGACTATTAAAAATGAAATTCTTTCTTGGTATTCTATACTTATACATCTTAAAATATGTATGAGAATGATTTATTCATTTCCAAGTGTTGTATTTTAAATATTTCTATGTTTTCTGAAATGGCCTTTTCTGGCACTATGTTTTCCTGTTTTGTGGGATTATGTTAATGACTCTCCTTTATATTGTTCTTTTCTGCAGTTATGATTACTCCGGCTATGGAAGGTCAACAGGAAAGGTTAGTGGCCTAACTTTTGAATCCCTTTTCACTTCTTTACAGAGCAACGGGTAGTCTTCATGTCATTATATTCATAATGGTGGAAATATCCTTCTGCATTTCTCCTTGCCGAATATATAATTAATTTATTAAGACATACAAGTGGGAGAGAATCTCTTGGTCCTAGGGACCACATTGAAGAACGGTATTATTAACCCAACCCAAAGCACACTTTCAGTAGCCTGAAAACAGAGGGAAAGAAATGAAAGGACATAAACATCTTATTAATAGACGATTGAATTGGCAATCCTTGCAACCCAGCCTAGCCAACAAAGAGGAGATACATGTATTTTAATCCATGACTAGAAAGCTGGCTTCATCTCTGTATTTTTAGCCCCCCGTCTCTTATGTGCACGTTCCATTCTCAAACCATGGCTAGAATTGAAGAACTAAGAGTCTTCTTTTGCACTCTTCTCCTTCTGCTATAGCACCACCCTTCATCAGCTTCATATATTGGAAAGAATTGGAGGGTGGAAGAGAACAATGATTGGCTCTCCTTTGAGTGTCAATATACTGCAGTCCTATTACTGAATAGCATATTTGAGAGACTGCTCAATGCAAAGTGGATTGTTGAAGATTGATAATCATGGCTAGCTCTTCATTGAGAGAGTGTCACCTAAGGAGAGAGCTTCAGCAGATGACAAATACAAAAGTGGATAGCTGGCATGCCCTGATCCCTAGGGATCAGAGCTCTTTGATTGTTAGCTGTATCTTTTAGCATCTTAACTTATTAAGATAGTTTGTTATCATATGTTTGATTATGATTTCTTTTCTTTCATCTTTTCTTTCTCATTGCATCTTCACTGAAAAAGCAAGTCCTTATGCATTTTGGTTTTGGTTTGATGTTTCTAATTTAGTCCTTTGTACTAATATCTTGGTTTAATTGATTTTCTCCTAATCAAGTAGGGTTTTTATTTGGATTTACTTTCAAATATTAGCATGGCATCTCATGCCCCACAGAAACTAGGGTGTTCTAAGGTTTGTCTTTTATATGGATTATTATATACTCGCATACGAAGTTATTGAACAAACCTATTGGTAAATGACATATCTAGATAATTGGTCACTAATAGAGCAAAATGACAATGTGTGATCTATGTAGCCGATCTTATTAGTGGGATAAGACTTTTTTTTTTAAAAATAATTATTACTCCTCCGGTCCTAATTATAAGACCCAATTGACTTATTTGAGGAGATTAAGAAAGTAAGTTAAGTTGGTTATTTATAATAAATAAGTGTTGTCATTCCTAAAATATCCTTGCTAATTAAGTATATTGGCTAAAACTATCATTATTAGAAGGATTATCTTGGAAAAAAATGCATAAATATAAGAGACAAAATGGATTGGGGTCTTATAATTAGGACCAAATAAAAAGTCAAATGGGGTCTTATAATAAGGACCGGAGGAGTATTATATACTAGCTCGGTGACAAGCTTGTGAATATCTGGTTTTCAGTGTCTGCCCATTTTCCATTTCTTTTCTTAATTGTTTTTCATTCTAACATTTGATATCCGGTGCTTGACCTCTACTACATCACTGGCCCATTATGTAGAAAGAATAACTGCTGCCAAAAACATATGAACCCACCTTTGAGGATTTCTATAGGACTTTCTTAGAAAGCCGAGGTTGAGTTTCATTTGATGATTATCCCTTTCTGACACGGTCTCTTTTCTTTTGGTACTGTTCCTTTTTTCTTTTTATTTTTTTCCTATTCCCTCTTACATTCTAAATAAAACCTTGATCTGTATATGAGAGTATGCCCAGTCAGCTAATAACACTCAAATTGGCGGCAAACTTTCTATCATGGTTTTGTTCAAGTTTCCATGTTTCACTTGAATGGTAAGGGAAGGGCAACCTTATCACAGCATGATTACTGATAGCTTTAAGCGTTTTTTGAGGATTCAGGATGATAGAGTGAGAATTAATTTTGACTTTGGCAATCACACAATTTTTCTGGAAGTGTTTATTAAACCTTACCTGTAGAGTTACACAAAACAATTGACCAAATGACTAGTCATTGATCCAGCTGCAGTAGAGAGCCACTGCCGTTGCCATCTGTGACTCATCTCAGATTTATCCCCTCTGTTGGTAGGCTGGCTTTAAGCAATAGAGACCGCCGCCATCACATTGCCGTGGATTATTTTACTCAAATCTTGCTAAAGTTCCTTTTGAAGTTATGTTGTTTTCTTCCTCTTAGGTTAAATTGTTCTGTCTATGAGTGAGTCTAGTCTGGGAAATAGGACGCCCACTTGTTTTAATCGGTTTTACTGTTCTGGGAGGTTGTTTTTCCATGATCACTGGATAATTGTGATAGGATTTTGTATTGTTTGACTTTCATTCATGAATTTGCATTACGGTTTCAGTAGTTAGAGCTTCACGTTGAACTGAAGCTAAAATGAAGGCAAAATTGACGTGTTTAAATAATTTTATGGGAAATCTGGGTTTTTAAGGACATTTATTCATTTGTACGATGGACTACCAACACTGTCTGTGCTATTAGTGTGTTTTTGTAAATGGATCTGGAGCTACATTCTTGCCTGTAACTTAACGGATGCCGCTTTTTCCTCTGTTGAAACAGCCAACTGAATCTAATACATATGCAGATATTGATGCTGCATATAAATGCCTAAAAGAGCAATATGGGGTGAAAGATGATCAACTAATATTATATGGTCAATCTGTTGGTAGTGGTCCGACGCTTGATCTTGCTTCTCGAGTACCAGAATTGAGAGGCGTCGTGTTGCACAGTCCAATTTTGTCGGGGATGAGAGTGCTGTATCCTGTAAAACGGACATACTGGTTTGATATTTACAAGGTAGAGCTTTATTTTTTATTTGAATTAATCTGTTCCCTTCCTGACACGGGTGACTCATGCGGTTTCTTTTCTTATCTTTACCCACCAGAATATTGATAAAATATGCTTGGCGAACTGTCCTGTTTTGGTCATACATGTAAGTGACTTTTCTCTCAACATGTGTGTGTTCTGGTGTTCTTTTTCTTTTGGCCTTCTTAAGTGACGTGTTGCTCAATGCACAGGGGACAGCAGATGAAGTTGTGCATTGGTCCCATGGAAAGAAGCTTTGGGAGCTTTGCAAGGTAAAGTATGAACCTTTATGGGTAAGAGGTGGTGGCCATTGTAATCTTGAGCTGTACCCTGAATTCATTAAACATCTAAAGAAATTTGTACAGACAATTGCCAAATCTAAAGCCAAGGCTAAAGCAATTACAGCTAATGGAACTAGCAAGGGTGATTCTGTAGAGACTGATAACCAAGGCAAAGCTACGAAAGAAGAATCTGAGAGTGGAACTTCTGATGCTGCATCTGTATTGGGTGCAGTGCTTCCAGAAGCTTCTAGAAACAGTTTAGATAGTCGCCTTGAGAAGTCTAGAAATTCGAACAAACCTGAAAAGTCTAGGATGAGCACTGACCTTATTGATAGGTTTAGGAGAAGAAAGGGATTAGTGTGGTAGTATCTTACTCAAACATCACCCACAGCAACTAATCTGGGAGGTATCATCTCATTGACACTAAATTAGATCTTTGATACTCATGCATAACGCATTCACAAATAATAATAAAAAAAATATGTACAAGACTCATATTTCATCTTCAAATCTGTTACTTTTTCTTTTCCCTTCTCTTTTAGTTGTACAATATGTATTATTTTAATGAATGTTATGGGCGTTAGAATGATTGAAAATAATATGCTAATTATTCTGTAATTGATCCAAAATGCAAGCCATTGAGATATATCATTGTGTTTTGGTAATTGTTTGAGTTCTCTGTCTCATTCTTAAAATGCGTTCCTCTATATTAAAGGCAATTCAGTGATTGAAGCTTACCTGCACGTATCATGCGCCTATCCACCTCTTTAATCAACAGATAATGTTGCCTGCAAAAATGTTAATGAGCAATGGTGCAATATTGATTTGGCTAATCACTTGTAAGAATCACTTCCATGTTTCAAGTGGCAAAACTTTTCTAACAATTTGACTCGTATAATGGAAAAATGGTGTTCAAGGCACCCCAAACAGGCACTCTAAAGAAAGAATTACAATCAAATCTCTTAAGCTATCATTTGTACTTCGATCTCTTAGAGTTAAGATCTTTTTAAAATTATGAACTATATAACATGCTAACGTCTCCCCCCCCCCCTTTCCCAAATCTAAGTGGCATAAGAATAAATAAGCCTCTTACAAAAGGTTGGGCTGTGATTCGTCCTAAACTAAAAGGAGCCAATCACAGCTAAATATTAAATTTATATTAAATTATGTGCATATAATAATGGGAAATTCCTTTAAAAAAAAGTTTGACTATATGAAATTTTCATTTAGGCAGCCAGCATTTGAAAATGAAAGGAAGTAAAATTTGAATCGACGTCTTAAAAATGTGAAATTATCCATGTTATTTTTTGTCCTAATTATAAGATCTCGTTTGTAATTTATAAATGAGGTCTTATAATTAGAATAAAAAATAATATATGGATAATTTCACAACATTTTTAAGACGTTAATTTAAAAACAATGTCTTATAATTAAGATCGGAGGTAGTGTTATCTTGTGACATAAATGACTGATAGAATTGGAAAATTGATGGTGTTGCTTCTAAGGCCCCGCTTGGTCAGAGGTCAAATTGGGAGGGGAATTCAAACTTTTAATTCCAAGGAGTGAAATACATTTTCCTTGGTTCGTTAAAAGATTCAACTTCCTCACAATTATGGAAGTAATTTTTTAAATAGAACTCTAACAACTTCTACTTGCCTAGTATTTTATCTTACAAACAAAACAATTTCTCTTAAGAAATAATTATAACTTTTCAAGAAATACGAAAATCAATCAAGTAACTCATATATTAACTTCCTCAGAAATCAACTTTCCAGGAAATGTCAGTAGTCCCTGTAAAATTAACTTCTCAGAAAGTTGCGTAATTGAACCAATTGATGCCTAATACATTTTAATATATTTTAAATTGCTTTAACCAGTCACGATTGATTTTGTACTCAGGAAGGCAAATTCATGCAAATTCTTTAGCTAGATTTTCCCATCGATTTAGTTAAGGACCTTTGGTTATCCCTACCTTGTTGCATAGGAAGGTCGTGAATATTGGTAACATTTGCTTGGTGAACTGTCCCGTTTTCAGAACATTGTCCACATTACTTAATTTTGAAAGAGAAAGATAACATAAAACTGAAGTGATCATCATTTAAAAAGCTGATACATATTATGTTTATCTCCTTTTTAAATTATCAAAATCAAAATTCAACTCAGAGAGAGGGGGAGAGAATTAAATTCCGAATCATATCAAATCTAAGCAGCATAACTAGATTTGTGTTATTTACGTTGTTTGAAGTAATTGAACACAATGCGCCCATAACAGAAATAGAGGGGAAAAAAAGATGGCAAGTGAAAATTAAACTAAAAATAATACTTCTCCGGTTCTAAATGTGAAATCTAAGTGGAGAGTTGATGTTGGTCCTATATGTAAGACTTATTTTATATGTTTATCAATTTTTTCTTAAATAATCCTATTAATATTTTTTCAACAATGATCAAGTAGGAGAAACAGAGAGAAGATTAATGAGTATGGTTAAGATATTTTAGAAAAAAAAATCATATTAATTAATTTAACTAACAGTTGTAATATACTCAAATTAATTAATTAGTTTTTTACTATATGAGCTTTATACTGAGCACTTTTCCCAGGCTCAGATTCTGATCTTGAATACTGAAAAGAAAAACATGAGGGCACCTCACTACTGACTGCCACACCAATCAAGTCGGTTCCTTTTCAATCCAATCATTCAAGTGCCGACTATATCTATCTATCCATCCATCCATCTATCTATCTATATATATACATATATCAGGAAGCCAAAACATTTATAATCCAAAAGAAACACTAATCCATCAAAACGTGGTTTCTATATACAAGGCAGTGTGTGTGTGTGTGTTTGTGTTTTAAATGACCCAAATCAACAATAATTTCACTCTCACCTATTAATCCCACAACATGCGTAAGTGTCCTAAGAATGAGAACAAAAAGGGTCTCTGAAATTATATGAACTGTGAAGCTTACTAATTCTAAGTCTTACCAACAGAATAATTAGGAGATGATAGATTCTGTGAGGAGTTAGACGCAGAAGAGAAGCTAACCCATTTATCAGAAACCGAATTTGGTGAAACTGGTGCACTGCAATTTTTCAAAAGCACCATTTCTTCTGCCTTACCCATCATCTTCATCACTTCCTTGTCCTTCACGTTATACTCCTTACCTTGGATCTCTCTCAAGACCTCAATCACCTCTTTCATGGAAGGTCTCATATCTCTCTCCTTCTGCAAACACCTGAAAGCTAATTCTGCTACTCCGGTAGTCATCTTCCTCACAGCATTGTCCGTTTTGAACCCTAAATATGGATCAACCAACTCATCCACTGCATTATTCTGAATCCTATCCACAGCCATGTTGGCTAAGTTTACGTCACGATGATTCCTAGTTACATCCACAGCTTGTAAGGATGATATGAGCTCGATTAATACCACCCCAAAACTATAAACATCACTCTTATCAGTTAACTGATAGCACTGATAATACTCAGGATCGACATAACCAGGTGTGCCTTGTGGAGCAGTAGAAACATGTGTGACATGATTAGGAAACAAACGTGAGAGACCAAAATCAGCAACCTTAACTCGGAAATTGTTGTCTAGGAGAATGTTGTTGGTTTTGACGTCTCGGTGTATGACATCTGATTCGTGAAGGTAGGCTAAGGCTTCGGCTGTTTCTACTGCTATGTTCATGCGTATAGGCCAAGGAAGCAAAGATGAGCGAGATAGTTTGCCATGGAGATGGTCGGCGACTGTTCCATTAGAAATGTACTCATAGACAAGGATGAGTTCTCGACTGTGTCTGGAGGTACATCCATACAGTGCTACGAGGTTGTCATGTCGTAAGCGAGCTAGGATCTCGACTTCATTCATGTACTGATCTACACGTTTCGCATGGCTTTCATAATGGCGTTTTACTGCCACCACACGTCCGTCTTTAAGGGTTCCTGACAAGAAATCACAATAGAGCTTTAATGACATGCCATCAATAAGGGACAATTTAATCTTTTGGCCCTTATAGTTTTGACTCTTTAATTAGATGCAATTCAATCCTTATAGTTTTGACTCGGTTAAAATTAGGTCTTTAAAGTTTAATTCATTGTAACTCAATCTTTATAATTTTAATCACTTAAAACTCTAGTCCTTGTGTCATGAAATATATATAAAGACTAATATTTTAAATAGATAAACTATTAAAGATTGAGTCAAAATTCAGCGATAGAGTCAAAACTATTAGAATTGAGTTATATTAAGCTAAAGTTTAGAAATTGAATTATAATTGAGTCAAAATTATAAGGACAAAAATGTTAATTTTACTTAAATCATAGGATCAAGATTCTCTTCAAAGGACTCAAATCCTAAATTGTATATGAGAAAGTGATGTGTGTATATATGTGCGTATGTATTTGAGATATGATGTTCTTGTTACCATAATAAACAGTTCCAAAGCCTCCATCACCAAGTTCCATGGAAGGGTCAAAATTTTTGGTAGCTTCTTCTAGTTCAGCATAGTTAAAAACTTGAACTCCAAAGTAAAAACTCTTCTGCGCAGAGTCAAGCTTGGAGGTTTGGTAAGAAGGAGCAGTTTGAGCCATACTATTTGCAGTTGTAGAGGTTGTCACACCGCCATTAATATTGCTTAATGATGGCGACAAGAGGTTCTTATTGCTTTTCAACTGTTCAACTTTTCTTTTCCTTCTTTTCATAACAAAGCAGAACAAACATACAATGAGAACGCCACAAAAAGCTGCAACTCCAACACCAACACCAACACCAACACCTAAGCAACAAGCAAGAAATGAGACAATGTTTTATTCCATAACTCCGAGATTTCATCAAAATTTAGTTAATGGATTAACAGAATAGATTTTACCTACAGCAACCGTATTCTTAGACCTTTTACCTTTAAAATTCACATCAATTGAGATATTAAAACTGGCATCATATAGGAGCATATAAAAAGAAATAACAACAGGTGATCAGTGTATAGCCTCAGATTCAAATATGAACAGGAAACAGAGAACAGTGTCTCAGAGTTCCTTACTGAAAAACAGTGTTTGACATAAATATTGCGATGAAGATATTAGAGAAAGATGTGGACCATTTTCTGATAGTCAATTATCAACATGAAACATTTAGTCACCAGAAGAAGTGAAGCTTTCCAGGGCTTGGATTTGCTAGAAATTAATGCATTATAGATAAGAAGAGGAGTTAATGAAACTTGTTCTTGAGCAGTCATTGTGCAGTACAAAGTGTATACTAGTAATAACAGCATAATATGCCTTGAGTTCCTTCTGGGTCTACATCATCTACTTAGGAATATGTGAGGAAAGAAAAAAGTGCACACACACAGCAGCATAACTTTGTCTAGGGTTTGAAAGTCTCGATTTGTATCTCTCCAAAGAAAACAAAGGCATTAGCAGGTACCAGCA